CCCTGCAAAGTACAACACATTTAAAGTTGAAGATGGAGAAATTTTGGTTGTTCTTCCAGTAAATTCCCTGATAGTATGCATTCATTAGCATTAGCTTCAAATTAGTTATGCATTAGATATAGTTATGGAAAATGACAGTATAATGTCTCCTTTCCTTTTTTATCTGTAAAAAGTTGAACTTTTACCAACTTGATGTTAAATTGTTAATTGTTAATCTACATTGTGATTATAGATGACATACATTGAAATGCTATTAAATTCTATGGGAATCACACCATTTGTGGCTTGCCCTATTACAAAGTGCTACTCTGTACAGGATATTTTTGTTCTTCCCTTTAGGGCGGCACATCTAGAAAAGGATCTTCAGAACCTGAGCCTCCAGTGAGATTGTTCCAGGTTCACGGGACTGACCAGTTTAACACAAAAACCATCGAGGTCCCAGCCCTGGCCACCTCTCTAAATTCCGGTGATGTGTTTTTGCTCAAGAGCCAAACAGGAATGTATCTCTGGTGCGGAAAGGTAAAAGATACAACTTTATTTTAGACAGAGAAACTGACAGGCCCTTTAGAGCAGTTTTGTCACTTACTTCTTTAATGTAATATAATTCATAATGAAAGATATCTGGAGAGAAATGTCTAGCTATTTGGGGAGATTTCTTTCTTCACAGTGAGGGGTGAGTCACATTTCACACGGTATTTAAAAAAAAAAACATTTTTCTAAATTAAGAGAATAGTCATTTTGAAAGTCTGAGTTTTGGGTGGATAGGTGAGGTCCCTTTGCCGAAAAGAAACTAATAAAAATCCCCTTCTGTCTATCACCTTTACATAGAAAATAGGAACAGATGACGGGTTCTTGCAGTATTCAACAATGTGGCTTTACAATGAAGCTTTAAGGGCTAATGAGTAAAATATTCTTATCAAACTGATTTTTAAAGGCACCTGAATGAACAGTATTTAAGGTTTAGGTACCCTAAGTTTAGTAAGAATAACAAGCATGTAAATTTTCTCTGAATTAATTAGAAACAGTAAAACCAGCCGCTCCCTTGTCTGAAGGGGTTGCAACAGTGGTAGCTCCACGTTTGATTTAGAAGAGTTTAATGGTGGATGTCCTTCCTCCAAAAAAAGAATAAAGTAATGTACAGATAGTAATTTTTGGTTTTTATTAAGATTTTAATGTAAGTGTGCTGTAAGGACTGTAAAGAAATTGTTTCTAACAGTTTGGAGCTGACTAACTCAGCATGCCCAGACAGGCCTCTGCACTTTTTGGGTGGAACCGAAAGTCAGACCTTAGCATCTCTCATCAGGGCTTATGATAGCTAATACTCTTGTGGCTTCTCATTAGAAAAGTGGAGGCTGTTAAGGAAACAAATTGATGGTCAATAACCATGAATGAATATAACTGGTTGGATGTATTTTTTTGAGCATATAGTATATATATCAAAGTACTAGGACTCATTGGCTTTTCAGTCTGTCTGTCGGTGAGCATCTGCCTTTGCTGTGGTTTTGCTGAGTCAAACAGTTCATCTCTACCAGCTGCTGACTCAGCACTCATGACTTTCCTTCATAAGAATAACAAACATGTCACAAGATTTCCCTCGTTTTCTAAAAACCAGATTAAACCAAATAAAATGAACATTTTTAGCAAAATATAGGCCTATTGATGAGCTCTGGGGTCGGGGGTGGCATCTTTTTGTAAACCAGGGATCAAGTGGAGATGAGAGAGCCATGGCGAAAGAGGTCAGCTCAGCAATCAGCCAGAACTCACCACGAGGCTCTGAAGAGATTATTGCAGAGGGTCAGGAGCCCATTGAATTCTGGGAACTGCTTGGGGGGAAAGCTCCCTATGCAAGTGACAAGAGGTGAGGATAGTATGAACAGGTGAACCAACAGCTTCAAGTGTGACTTTTCTATATGTTTGCTTTCACTTGGTTATGTGCCATCCGCAGATTGCAGCAGGTAGTTTTGGACCATAAGCCACGCCTGTTTGAATGCTCCAATAAGACAGGGCGTTTCATTGTGACTGAGGTGACTCACTTCATACAGGATGACCTCAGCGAGGATGATGTCATGCTACTGGACACATGGGACCAGGTAGGATTTTTGTCAGGTTATTAATAAGAACATAACAACGAAATAAATAAACTCCACCACTTTAATCACATCCTGCTTATTCTCCTTTTTTCTCTCAGGTGTTTATCTGGATCGGTAAAGACGCAAATGAGGAGGAGCGCAAAGAGGCACTGACAACCAGCCAAGAATATCTGCAGACCCACCCGGGTGACAGAGATCCACACACCCCCATTGTCTTGATCAAGCAAGGCTTCGAGCCACCCACCTTCACTGGGTGGTTTACAGCCTGGGATCCCACCAAATGGAGTGTCAGTGTTATGCTTTTGAGCTGAAATGTGGATTTCCATTTATAATTAAAATAATCTTACAAATATTTCTCTCTTTCAGTCAGGAAAGAGCTATGAGGAGCTGAAGAAGGAGTTTGGAGATACAGCATCACCTGTTAATGTTACTGTTGCAGTATGTAAAGTTTTATTCATTTCTCAAACTCTGTTTAGGTTAAAACTTGCAACAAAGTTCTATGTTAGCATGAAGTTTTAGCTCATGAATTATTGGATTTAAAAGATTTAACATTTATAGACCTTCATATCATAATCTGCAGTGTGGAGTGTAGCTATATTAGACCCTCAGGTGTAGGAAACAGAAGGCAAAAGTTCAAAATATTTATTGCTGATGAATCAAAATCCAAGAATCCAAACACAAAGAGCAAAGCCAGGTAAGTAACTGGGAGCACTGGGCGTGTACTGCCACAGACACACAACTAAGTGGACAACACAATAAATAGAACAAGCAAACTGGAGCTTTAAATGGGCACCAGAGATCAGCGAAAGTGGAAACATAAGAGCAACAAGACTCAGGTGAAACTAATCAAGGACAGTGAGACAAAATAAAAATAAGGACAAAGCACAAGAGCGAAATGACTCACAAAACAAAACAAGAGCTATTCTGGAGAAGACTTGACAACAATATGCAAAAGGACACTGAGGAGGCAGGGACAAACTAAAACAAGTAAATAAATATAAATGCTCTAAACATGATCAGAAACCAAAATACAAAATAAAGAATATGAATCTTAAAGGCCAAACAAAAGTTCACAATGAAGGTAAGGAAATAAACTGATTAGGGACTGTTTACAAAACAAACAGAAATCCAACTGAAACCAAGCACAAAGAAAACACAATCAAAACCATGAAAGCCATCACAATATAAAGCACCTTCAGGCAACTGTTGTTGTGACAATCAATTCATCACTATACTCTAAGTACACGGGAAACCAGGACACTAAACCATGAAGATAGTTTCGACATGGTGATTATTGGCTTTGCCTTAAATATACGTGTGATTAATATAATTCAGAGACAGGAGTAAAGAATAAGGGCCAGAACCTGCATTAATAAAGTACTGTGATTTCTATACTCAAAGATTGAGATTAATAATACAATATAAACTAAAATGTTATTTTAATGTGATTTTCTAGGAGCAGAACGGTGGGAACAGTGTGAAAAGTTTTCAATCTTTCCCACCTGACGATTTGAGAAACAAGCTTGCCAACGAGCTGCCAGAAGGTGTTGACCCGAAACAGAAAGAGGTATGTACGCGCGTTCCCAACGTTTCCATTTCCCATAAATTCCACATTTACGTTCAAGATTTGTACGTGTATCTGCTTATTCATTATTTAGTGATGATTACAACCATCACCAGTAAAACTCTGCAGCTCAAAAAATAACACATGTGCCATCACTCACTAAACTTTGTCACCTCATTTGCAGAAATACCTCTCTGACTCTGACTTCACCACCGTCTTTGAAATGACCAAAGATGAGTTTGTGAGCTTGCCGCAGTGGAAACAGCTGAAAATGAAGAAAGAAAAAGGGATGTTTTGAGATTTTTTTCAGTATTTGAAATAAGTAGTTACTGATAGAAGCCAGCTGTTGGGGTCTCTTTGTATGATCTTTCTTGCTTTTCATGTTTTTTCACTTACATGCAGATGAAATCTATAATCATGAGTCCATTCTGTACATTTTAGTCAAATTACTTTTTTTTTTCAAAACTTTATTTTTGTAATCTGTGCTGCCTTTATGGAGTTAGCACTATTTAGGAACTCTTGTGTCAAAATCAATGAACCTAACTGAACTATGAACCACAATGGCTGTTCCCCTCTGCATGTTTGTGCAGTCAAATCCTGTAGGAGGCAACAGTTAACTCACACGTCTTATATTACGATATTTATCAGGATGTCATTTTTTAACAAATGTGATTCTTACCAGGTTCAAATAATGATTTAAATAAAACCTCAGATAAACAACACTGCACTGTTATTTATTCAATTAATAAAACGTAAGAATGTGAAAAAGTAAGTTCATGTTTCAATAGCTTGTAGAAACACTTTCAGCAGCAATGATAATCATTTTCTCTATGACTCTGTATAACTTTCCTTGTTGTGGAGGAATTTTGGCCTGATCTTCCTTACAGCATTGCTTCAGTTCATTGAAGTTTGATTGATGTTCTAGATTGATTTTTTTATTGTGTCCCAATATGCAAAATCTTAAGAGATGGAAGATGGTGCATTTTCTTTTATCCCCATAATGGCCAATAGGATAAATAGGTTTAGAATTAAAATGAAAACTATTTATAAAGAAGAAAGTAATTAAAATGATTTACTTAGTTGCACCCGGAACAGCAACAAACCTTTGTGTCACTTACTTCGAAGTTACTCATAATATGAAAGTAAAGATTACCTGATTTTTCCATCTTTTGTGCAAATAACGATGGAACATGATGTGCTCAAAATAAGTGAAGAAAACAAAAATCTATCCATTTCTGCTTTCATTTGTAAATTGTTATCTTATGTGATTCCCAGAAAGGCGACCTTTACCTTTAGTGTACTTAATATACAATCAGTTATACGATCGGTGATGAGTCTCCTAAAAATGAGGTGCTTAACTGATCATCACAGATTTGAAAGATGAGCCTTGATGAGTTCCTTGATAATTAGGCTTGAATGTCAAGCTGCTTATTAAGTCATTATTTGTTTTTATTCACTTTGTCCATATTTTAAATGCAAGTTAACAGAAATGGCACAAAGCATTGCTCACTCGTTTTATTATGATATAAATGTATGGCATTAACATTTAAATCTGAACATCTATTTCAAAGCCAATGACAGAGCTGAAAATATTACAAACAGAAAAAAGGCATCATACATAAAAGGATGTATTTTCAGTACTTTTGTATGAAATCAAAGAAGAAAAAAAAACCCCAATTTGGCTGCACAGCAACATGTCAAAGGTCATTTCCTTTTCTTTTTTCTTTTTGTATCACCGGGAAAACTTGAAAATGAACTGTCCAGCACCTATGGATGTTGGTGTTATAATTCATTTGCCATCACCTGACTGCTCAAGAACTGACCACAGTATCACCACACAGCACTAAAATAACAGAAACCTCCTAAACTTACATACATTTGACAGTCGATGCTACAGGTTATAAAGAACTAGCAAAAAAGTACTTCAGAGTTCAAAGTCAACAACCTGTATTAAAACCAAAAATGATACACAGCTAAATGCAGCAACTTCAACATAACCCTTGCAGATTTATTGTTCTGCTTCTGTCTTCTACAAGAGATCCATTTATCAATATATGCTTTTTTAATCATTAAAGTCCAGCCTGATATGTTCAAAACTTCAATTATTTGTCAACTTTGTTAAATCGACTTTGTAAACTGGGGAATAAAAGAATGATACATGGTCTACAGAGTAAACTGACACTGAAAATCCCTTTTAAAAAGTATTTGTAACAGCAAATAAGACATATTATTCATTACATGTAGTTGATAGTATTAGTTGATAGTATTGCATGCAAACACACTCATAAATGACACAAACTTGTGTGCATTTTGGAAATCAGTATACATTCATAGGTGCTCGTGCAGGCTACGGATCATAGATGAAGTGAGGAGTCTACTTTTGATTCTGGCACAATTTTTTAAAAAAAAAGAAAGTAAAAAGGCATTAAAAATGTTACATACAAAGTGTTTTACAGCAATGAAAGACATCTGAAGAGGCAAAGTTCATCAAGTTCCACTGCAAATGTGCAAACATGCAGCATGTCCTTGCAGGCAGACAAAAAAAAAATCCAGCCTGCAGTGGTCAGCTCGTCAGGTCTGGCTGACACATTTGGTTAAAAAAGGGAATGTTGGCTTTAATGCAATCTGACAAATAAATGTCACAATATAAGAACTTTAAAAATGCAGCCAAATCCATTTTCTGTCTATTTTTTTTTAATAAAAACACATAAAAATTTTAAGACTTTGAGGCTTTGAATAAATGAACTGCCTATTTGAAATCACCAGACTTCCAAGTCCAAGAAAAACATGAGAGAAACCAGCAACACAGCCCGATCAAAATCCTTATGATCAAATTTAAGTTAACAATAACTTCACTGTGTTTGTAATGTCTACTTCTGGTTGAAGCTAAACCAGCTGCTGTGGAGATTCTTACCGAGACAGATAAATCATGACTTTTGTCTTGACTGCTTCTTGTGTAGAAAATATCCTTCTTAAAATCAAAAAGGTAAACAGTCAAAGCAACATGGAGTATGTTCCATGTTTTTGCAACGTGCATAAAAAAAACAAAAAACAAAACAAAACCCCAAACACTTACGACAGACTTGAATTAAATGATTGGCAAATAACATAAAGTAGTCAGCGAAATTTGTAAACCTGAGATCGTTCAGCACAATTTTTAAAAATGTAACTTCTACTACAATGTTTTTCAACTTTTCATCATAGATTAAGCTGCCAATTATTTCCACAGTTATTCTAATAATCATTTTCTCATAAAATATCAAACTATTGACTAGCAACATCTAATCTCAACTGATTTTTGTAAGAACAGAAATATCTAACTTCAAATCAAAATGCTGCTGGATTTTATCAAGTTATGAACTATTTTATCTCTGACCTTACTCAGTAGTAGATGAAACATAAATTTAAGACAAAATGCAGCTTTCATTGATTTTGGTGCCTTCGACCTCACTGTTGAGGGCATCTCCATTATTAGGCGGGCTCTTTGTGTTCTCTGCATCGTGAGGCAGCTCCAAACTGTCTCCGTCACCTGGAAAGATCCTGTCCTGCTCTGGAGTCTCATCGAATGCATCCTTGTAGGCACTTATGCTGTCCGAGTCGTTTTCGTCCAGCAGGGGATCTTGTCCATCTGCTGCCCCGTTTTCATAAGGTCTCTGGTGGACCCCATCCTCAGCGACCAGGCTGTCCAGTGCAAGAGAAGGCTGGTGACACATGGGCTTATTTACCATTCTCCATTGCTTCTCCTCTGTGCCCTCACTCTGTCCTCTTTGCACTGCAGCTCCCAATCCATCTTTGCTGCTGTGAGAGGAGGAGCTCTCGACTTTGTTGGCATCATTTCTTATTTTGTGTCCCTGCATTGTTGCTTTAGCCATCTCACCTGGACCTGATAGTTTGTTATTCCCTTCCTGCAAGGTGTAAACAAAGAAAAGCATATGCAGTGCTCATTCATAGAAAATATAATTACAGTGTTTTTTAAAGATCTTGAGCCATCAATCATCTCTTTTTGGAAGGAAAACAGGAAATATGTGCAGTAATTTATTGAAATGTGTAAACATACAAATAAAGTATATAAGACACAAACAAATAGGATTTTGGCTGCCTTTTGTTTTTGCCTCTTTGAGAACCATCTTGTTGGTGCAAAAATATTGTCTTATGTCCCCAAAAGATGTCATCTTTGGTTTTTTCTGTACATTTGAACTAAATAAATCTGAACAAATGTTTAAAAATGAACTAAAATTGTTGTCTGTTATGTGTAGTCACAGCACTAGTTAATCCCTTGAGTTAGGTGTCTTTTTTAAGCTTGAATGAGTCATAGGTAAGTATTAAACTGCTTAACAACAACAACGACGACAACAAAAAACAAATCAAAAATGTCTGTCGCCTTGGAAGCAAAATATAAATAAATGAGGAGTGGCCCAAGACTTTTGCACAATATTGTATATTTTAAAGCTATTCTTAAGAAATTTTATTCCTACTCTCCACTCAGCTAACACTATCTAAACAGAGAAGATAAGAAAAGCAAGAAGTCAGACTCTTGAAGAAGAGCATTACCATCAAGTCCAGGTTTAAAGTAGAATAACCTGAGCAGACTCCTGATTGTCCTTCACACTAGACACTCAGCATAATTAAGGCTAGAGGTCAAGTGATCAGACTATTTTCACCATGAAAAATGAAGAGATTACTCCAAAACGTGTTATGCACCACCACAAATTGTTTTTATAAGGACAACACAAGAATGGACGAGGCGTGGAGGTTTCAGGAGTGGAAAATGAGTAACAGTAATTGAAATAAGTGATTGTGCCAGTCTCAACAAATGTGGCTTGGATACTTAAGTACTTCTGTACTTTTCTAACTTCTTCATTTTGTTTTCAGGGCTTTTTTCCCAGAAAGACAAGACTCAGTTGCTAAAACCCTTAAGGACAAAACTAAACCACAACACACAGAAAATCTTGTATGCCCAGGCCTGCCGTGTCTCCGGGTTACACACCCAGAAAAAATACAAAACAACGACATAGCATCGCCATCATTCATATTGACGAGTGATCACACGCTGACAGTCTGTTGCGTAATAGGTTCCCTTTACATCTTTATAAACAAATTTGGAGCCTCTGCAAGCTTACATAAACGGTCTCACGTTACCTCTTTTAATCTTTCCACTTCTTGCATCAAAGAGTGCACCATGCTCTCCAGTTTCCTTTTGGCCTCCCTCTCTCGCTCCAACTCCTACAAATGCAAAGAGACAGCAGCAGCTCGTTAGTGTCACAATCTGTTGTAATAACAAACAACAAACTTTACACACACACACACACAAACACACACACAAACACACACACAAAAAAAAGGATTTCTAAGAGACTTTAAGACTTTACTTCGTGTTTTGGCTCGACCTGGACTTACCAAACTAGCCTGTCCAGCTTCTCTCTGGGCTTCAGCCAGCAGCTCCTCTACACCCTCCAGCGTGTCCTGCAGGACGTCCACCTGGAACAACAGAGCCTCTCGCTCGACCTCCAGCCCACGCAGCTCTTGCACAGCCTCTTCATAGCTGGCCTGCAGCTCTAGCTATATCACAAAGTTACACGGTAACAGATCAGTGTAGGCAACTTTAGGAGTATGCATGCCAGTCAGTGGGAGTGCTCGTTGAGCTCTCAGAGGCAACAATCTGTGGGAGGCCTCCTGTGGTAGCGTGACAATGCCTCCCTATGTAAAGGAATA